CTGATTTGTTTTGGTCTTGGGAGCCTGGCCTTGAACGTTGGTCAATGTTACTTTCATTTTTACTATAAATCTATTCCTAGCTAGACCAGAAGATTTAGAGTTGAAGTAAGGAGAAACATGAAGGAAATTTGTTTTCTTCACACACCTACAAAAGAGCTTACTAAACTTAGTACAGTAGTATTATTGCCAGCTCTGATTTTCCTTGTACAAGGGTGAGGTGGGGAGAGGATTCCACTTAAATCTACTATTTCACTTACTAAGTTGCAAGGTCACTGTTTTTCAATGTTCAAAACGTATATCTACTGATTGTACCTAGCTTAGGTTCTTTTCCCCAGTTTTTTAAAAGTCATAATCAACTCTCATAATATGACATTGAACCTGATAAGCTGACAGAGAACAACGATGAAGAAAGAGGCAAATATTTAAAAACTCTCTAATTTAATTCTTATGCTTTTTCAGGTGTAAACCATTGTGGGCATAAGTGACTGAATTTAGATGTCTATGTCACTATGCCCACACATCTAATACAAATTATTTCATTTGTACCTACAATTTTGCCTGGAAACGATTAAGTGCAAAATCAGAGGCCATGCTGAAACTTAAAATTTCACACAAGGAATTTAATAGCCTTATTTTTAAAAAGTACTAGTACTCACAACTACTACTGAATTCAATAGGAGTTGCAACAACCTCTGCAAATCAGAACTTAAGTGATTTGCCAAAGGTCACATAGCAAGTCAGTGGCAGAGCTAGATTAAACCCTGGGAGATCCTGGCACAGATCTCAACCGGTCCAGGAGAACATGCTGCCCCTTTAGTAATGTATTTTTGGATTTACTCTTAGATGTGAGAAAACTGGTATCACAAATGATTAATATTTAAAAATAGCAAGTCACCAGGATTTCTGTTTAGAACTGCGTGCTATTTAGTATCTTGTGAAGCCCCCAAAACACAAGATTAGTGCAAACAAATTATATTTCAGTAAGTCACTAAGTAACATACTCAGGCCGCAGGGACTGTACAGATTTAGAGTTTTGTACTGTTGTGTTTAGTTGATAACTTTTTACAATTTAAGTATGTGTACATATAGCTCCTATTCCAACTCCTGTAAAATAAATCCACATATGCACATACTGACTAGGTATGAAATAGTTTGACACTGAACTGCATCCACCTGCACTTCCTCTAGGACAGTGGTTCTCAAATTTTTTTTTACTGGTGACCCTTTTCACATAGCAAGCCTCTGAGTGTGCCCCACCCCCCATACATTAAAAACACTTTTTTATATATTTAACACCATTATAAATGCTGGAGGCAAAGCAGGGTTTGGGGTGGAGGTTGACAGCTCGTGGCCCCCCATGTAATAACCTCGTGACCCCCTGAGGGGTCCTGACCCCCAGTTTGAGAACCCCTGTCCTAGGAGATGCCGTTCAAGTAAACCAAGCCCACACTTTCTCCTACAGGCCAGGCTTGCTGGCCAGACTACATCTCCCATGATGGACCCTCACAGCACATCATGGCAGACACATGGTTGAGGTGTATTGTGAGAGATGCAGCCTTGCTGGAAAGCCCACCTCGGAGAAGAGAACATAGAGAAAAGGCACTGCAGCAGCTCAGAAGGATGTGGTTTAAAGTCATACTAAGTCAAAATGAAACATTTTCTTTCAATCCAAAGTGTAGAAAAGAAATGTTTCAACATTTCCAAACTGAAGTGTAAATGTTCATCTCAAAAACCAAAATGTTCAATTTTTCACTGAAAACCCAAAACACCCAAAACACCCCAAACCCAGAAATTCTCCACAGAAAGCAAACACTTTTTGGGAAATTTTTTTTGGCCGTAAACCCAATTTTCCACTGAAAAACTGTTTTGGTGGAATTTTTGTAACCAGCCTTCTTAATATCTTCTAATTACTAGAGAGGAAGGTGTTTAAAAATCCACAAATAGACCCTCATGTACTAGAAAACTTGCAGGTTAATGGAGGAGGTGGCATTGCAAGCTGCCATAAAACAACTTTGTGAAGATAAGGATTAAAAGAAGCACATACATTGATCTAGATGTGAGTCACCTAAATTTTCAGTAAGAAGTTTGTACTTGAAAAATTACAGTAAGCCCAAGGGTTATGTACTATACATGTTCCCAGTTGCATCACTCCTTTTCTACAACAGCCACTTCCTCAAATGAATATTTATCTTTAGCCATGGCCTTCAACATGACATCCAGAAAAAGTCAGAGAAAGCAGCTTCATGTTAGAACTACCAAGTCTTCAAGAGTCATTAAAAAAAAGTTAAGATGTAATTATTTTTATCATATTCTGTAATAAATAGTGGTCATGGAGCCTTTCCAACTAATTAATGGATCTTGTAGTTATCACACTACTGGTCTTTAGTGTTAAATCTACAAAGAAGCAGTTCACTGCCTTGTAAAACTACTCCACTAAGAATGTTATCCCTTAGTTGCATGTCAAAATACTTACTAAAGGCACAGCTAAAGAGATTTATCATCATGATGTTATGTTTTTACCTTAATTCTTCAGTTTTGCTTTATACATGATAAAATGATTAACTCTTATACAGAGCCTTTGGTACAATCCTACAACATATTAAGCATCAACAAATTTGACTTCAAAATATCATTGTACTTTATGACTAGGCCAGATATGCACCTAAGTCTAATAAGAGGACAGTCTAGTTTATTAGCTAGGGTGCAATTTATCTTTTTTATAAGCTCCTTTGTTAGATAATACAAGTTATGTAACAGGAAGTCTGTGACTGAAATGGTCTATAACAGAGAAAGAGAAAATTAATGTTTATATTAATGAACATAACTTTTAGCAGTATCAGTGGGGTTCTTACTAGCACCTATAACCAGAATGACCACCTATGACAATCAAGGTCCAGACACCGGAAGAGAACAGGTTTGATTTGAACCCCGCAAAAATAAACAGTTAAACCAACTTGATGGCATACTACGCTATTCATTGTAAAAGTGTATTGAGTAAGATCTTTTATGAAAGCTTGCAATGCACTGAACGTAAGTCATTTGAGATATGTATAAAAATTACAGTTACGAATGTATATGTAGAAAATTGTAATTGTAACTGTGGTACAATTTCAGCATCATCTCACATGGCAGTGAAGCAATCAGGCAGAGAGAGGTTACTTCCCCAGATGAGACTGCTTCTAGCACCTAGTCATTGTCCAGACCAGGAAAAAACAACGAAGAAACAAGGCAAATGAGAACAGCTTGAAAATGAAAAGAAAACCGCAGTCTTTGAAAACTAAGAAAGGAGAGGCTCTCCTGCTGGCATATTTAAACCACTCCCAACAAGTGGCAGTAGCCAAGAGCAAATTTACCATGAAACAAACCATGCGGTGGCAGGAGGGCCCCCCCAACGACAGAGCAGCCCCCAAAATGCAGGACAAATCTCATCTGACAACCTGCCCCTGCGTCCCGGCCGGCGGTGCAGCAGGGCTCAGACAGGCAGGCTGCCTGCATACCGTGACTGGTGGCCCCATGCCGCTCCCAGAAGCGGCCGGCCGCTGGCACGTCTCTGTGCGCCCTCGATGGCGGGGCAGGGTGGGGCAGACGGCTCCGCCCGCTGCCCCTGGTCCGGGCAGTGAATGGAGACCCATTGCCCCCCCCTTACCCCAAGACGCACACAGATGTGCCAGCAGCACAGCAGGGCTAAGGCAGCTCCCTGCCCACTCAGCCTACCTCACTCCACGCCACACCACTCCCGGAGGGGGGTGTCTCCGTGAGCTGCCCCCACCCTGAGCACTGACTCCATAACTCCAAGGGGAACTGCGGAAACAGGAGCTGCGAGGGCAGCGTATGCGGGCAACGGCACGCAGAGATCCCCCCGCCTACGAGCTGCTGCCAGAGGGATGTGTGCCGGTCGCTTTGGGAACTGTGCCACCCGAGGTAAGCGCCACCCCCTTGACCTCCTCCTGCACCCCAACCCCCTGCCCCAGTCAAGATATCTCACTTCATTTTCATTTATTTCCCATTATTTATATAGGAGGAGGATGAAGAAAAAAAGAATGAAAAACGGGGGAAGAGACCAAAGAGAATGTTCTTTTTCTTGGCTGGGTCCCAAGGGGGACCCCCCAAAAATGAAGCTGTGCACAGGGTCCCACTAACTCTAAATCCACTACTGGCAGTAGCTGTGTCACCGGGAGATTCTCCCACCAGCATAGTGCTGTCCACACTGGTGCTGCTGTCAGTGAAACTTACGTTGGTGATGGTGGGGGGGGGGGGTGTTTTTTCATGTGCCTGACCAACAAAAGTTTTGCCAACAAAAGTGCTAGTGTACACAAAACCTTAATGAACACAGAGTTATGAAGAGAGCTTCTGTTCACATACCATTAAGGGAACGCACCCCAACAGTTATAATGTAACACATAAAATAGATGGGAATACTTAGCATACCTGTGTAATTTAAGTGTATTGTTTTAAAAGGGGAATGGGATCTAGACAATACTAAAAATGGGCCTGAACTGCCATGTCAGATCCAAAATTCCTAAAGCATTTTCAAATGTTAGGTCTGGGATGTTTGGTTTGGGATTTCGGGCCAAACTCTAGGCAAAATACTATATGACAGAGAAAAATATCATGCCACCAATAGGTGTTCCGCAAAACGGAAGGTGTATTTGAATATGAACAGAAATTCTAAAGCGCTTTGTTGGCTCAATAAGACTTGCAGACAGTATCATCAACCCACTACAACATCTAAGCCAGCATGCACAGTGTTTTCACCACCATCAATACTTATAGAGTCACAGTAACAACTAGTTCAGGAGTCACCGCTTATGACAAGGGAAAGGCTACTCTAGGAGGAACTAGACTATTTGATTAGAGCTGAATCTCGAAGCATGCATCTCTTCGCCACACCAGCCCTGCCACCCTAAAATCCTTTGCTGTCTAACTGGTCTCCTAGGTTCAGCTACACTGCGATGCGCACAAGCCTGGCAAAGCACGTCTCATGACAAAGAAACACCCACCAGGAGAAGTGGACCGGGAAGAGACCCAGGAACTGGGCGCTCAGCCACGGGGCCACTGCCCGAGCGCCTCCGCCACCATCGCCCGGGACACAGGGTCCAGAGGCGGGCTCTGCCTCTCGGGGCGCGCCCGGGGCTTGCGGGGAGCGGATCCTGCTCAGCTCGGCAGAGGAAAGGCAAAGGCCATAAGCCGCCAGCACCGCCCGCCGGGCCCGGCAGCCTCCTAGCGCAGGGCTAGGCTCGTGTTTACACGGTCACACCGCCCCACGCGGGGCAGCGTGGCGCGCCGGGATCAGCCACTGCCCTGCAGACAGACCCCAAACTGTCCCCGGGCCACCCGCCGGGGGTTTTGTCCCCTTTCCCTCCTGCGGGTCGGCGCTGCGGTGCAAGGGGGGTCCCTGGCAGGCCGCGGGCCCCACTCACGCAGGCAGAGCTGGGTGACATAGGCGTAGTAGGACCAGCAGAGGATGCTGGAGATGAACAGCACCGGCACCCAGTAGAGCAGCCGCTGGCAGCGCCGCCTCGCGCCGCCCCGGGTCCCCGCCGCCGGCGCCGCCATCTTCCCGCACCGCATGCCAGCCACTAGCCCCGGGCCCGAGCAGCGCAGCAGCCCAGCCGAGCCGCCGCAGCCTGCTGCCAGCGCGGGGAGGGCGCGGCGCCTGTGCCGCCGTCCCTCCCGACAGGCTCCTCCAGCGGGCGGCGCCGCGCCGGGGCTGCTCCGCCCCCGCCGCCGCGCCGGGGCTGCTCCGCCCCCGCCGCTTCCACAGCCAGTCACGGGCCCCCGCCTGCCCCCGGGGCGTGGGAAGGGACCGCGCGGAGCCGCCCCACGGAATGAGGCTGGGGCTGGCCGGGCTGGGAGCCCCTAGGCCACAGCGGGGGTTCGACCCCCGAGGAAATGGGGCGGGGACAGGGCAGTTTGCTCCCACCTGCCCCTAGAACAGCCCCGGGCCGAGGGGAGGCGGCGATCAGCTCCCCCCGCCTCAGCCCCTCATTAGGGGCTCGCTCAGGCGGAGGGAGGGAAACCCGGAAGCTTGATTTTCGCTTCAAACGATAGGAGGACCGAGCACCTGCCTTGTATACTGACAGGAAAGAGCCACGTGCCCCCTGGCAGCGGGCCAGGAGATTAGGATGCGCCGCCCGCTGCCTTCAGTTGCAGTGCGGTGTAACGCCCCTGAAACCAACGCAGTTAGCGTCAGCGTCAAATCGGAGCAACACTGCTGATTCAGGCGAGCTGGGCCTGATACCCCGTGTGATCCTGCAAACCAGTGACCCCGGCTTGATCCCATTTGATCAGTTCTCTTTTCTTGACTTTCATGGAAGCACTGGGCTTGCTCCCTAGACTCTGATCCTGCCAACGCTTATGCACCTGCTTAACTTTAGGCAGATGAGTAGTTCTATTGAACTCAAAGAGCCTAAAGTTTTACACCTGTAAAAATGTTTTCATGCTCTTAGCCTATACAGACCTATGAACCGTGGACCTTATCTTTTTCTGTGTTCTGTATAGTGCTGAGCACATTGTCAGTAGTCAAGACATGCGTCCCTCAATTCCCCTAGCTGTAAAATAAGGATAATGATACTTAAACACCTTCGTAAAATGCATTGGAAGTATGGACAAAAGTGCTATCTAAATGCTAAGTATTACTGTAAAATAACAGATACAGTAACTGTTGTAGGCAGCCAGGGATGTCACAATAAATGGTAGCTTCAACTTTAGTGAACATGGCAGTCAGTTCTACTTTTGACATCACAATGGGTTAGTTGGAAAGAGATGAGCAGATACAGTATGCTGACTCACTTTTCCCCAAACATGGTTTAATGAGTGCTCCTCACACAGAAACACTTTTGAAATGGCATAGTAAATCCAGATTATAATTAGGTATGTATGCACAAATTAGTTGCTGAATTAGAGTTCCAAAATTAGAACTGCCAGGATCAGCAGGGAGCATTTCTCCAATCTACTAGAATCTTTGAGTGTGTCAACAATATAGTAGTTATGAAAGAGCTGGTTGATTTAAGTGTGCTTGGATTTTCAAACAGCTTTGGACAGGATCTCACACAATGGGCTATTAATGAAACTGAAGTCACAGCGTGAGAGGTATAGTTTGTCATAGATTAGAAATTGGCCCTGAGATAAAAATAGAGTAAGAGTTTTCAACATCCCCAAAAGTATAGCAGGGGGTACCACAAGGTTCTGTACTAGGGCTGGTATTGTTTAGTGTATTTATTAATGATTTGGATAAGGGGATTTTAACCATGAGGTGGCAAATTTACATATCAGACAAAAGTGTTTAGGTTAGTCAAAACTAGGGAGACTGAGGAATTACAAAAGGATGTTATGACGCTGGCAGACCAGGTGCCACCTCATGCCAAGGCCCCTAGGCCTCAACTGAACTCTGACCAATACATAACTGGAAACCAGTCTGGTTTACCTGTGTATTAGCATTGTTAAAATAGATGTTAAGTTTATAAGAATGTGTTTAGTGTTAAGAATTTATGAAATGTTTGTAGGATGTTGTGTGTAGTAATCTCATTTATAAGATCTGTACCCCACCTTGTAAGGTTATATTGAGTAGTTGCATTATAAACCTCTGTACATTTGTAAATCAAACAGGAAAGGAGCATTAATTTATGTAAAATGCTGGCTTCCTACAGAAGATGGTAAGTCCTGCCCACTAAGAAGGCCCACTGAAACCAAATGAGCCACTGCGAAACATCAAAGAACAAGACTTTAATTACTCCCCTACCACACCCATGAAGAGAATCTGTGCATGTGGACTCATCCCACCAGTTTGAACCCTGGGAGAAGGGAATAAAAATCCCTAACCAGAAGAAAATGGATCTCTACGCTGTTTGGACTCTGGGAGGGCAAGATTTCTAAGCAGAAGCATCCCCAGTGCAAATAATCCCATCTAAAAAAAGGTACTACAGAAACAGAAAGGGTACAGAGTGGCACGATGAGCACTGTAGCTCATGAAAGCTTATGCTCAAATATATGCGTTAGTCTCTAAGGTGGCACAAGTCCTCCTTTTCTTTTTGCGGATACAGACTAACACGGCTGCTACTATGAACACTGTTAGTCACTGAAAGACTTTGATATAAGGGGAGACTGAAAATATTATGAGAGGAGACAAGATGAGACATGACTGAGGTATTAAAAACAATGAATGACACTGATAAGGTAAATTTGACACTCCTATTAATCATTTTCCATAATACAAGAAAAAAAAAAGAGACATTCAATTAACTAAAAGACAACAAATTACTTTTTTTTTACACAATACACAATAAACCTGCAAAAATCATTGCTACAAGATATAAAGCTTAGTAGAATAATAATGAAAATGATTAGACATTTATATGTCTAATGAGAACATCCACAGTTACATAAAATAGATTTTAAAAGTATAAGGGATAAAATGCTTCCTGCTTCAGGGCATGTGCCAACCATTTACTGACATGAATTAGGAAGAAACAGAGGCAAGTCATTCCATTATTTGGCTTCTTGCACCTTCCTCCGAAGTATCTGGCACTGTCCACTGTCAGACACAGGGTACTTGCATTAGATGGATCACTGATCTGATCTGTTCTGTTATTCCACTTCCTGTTTTGCTATATGAGGAGGAGCTGGGAGCTGGAAACTCCAGGCATAACATGGCGAGTTAATGTTTGTATAGTACTTTGAGGATTTAAAAAGCTATATAAATGCTATTATTATGTTTATAAACATTGCATTGTCAGACTAATATTTTAATATTCCAATATCTGATTGTGTCAGCCCTTCACAGGCTTTTTCAAGGATTATAGAAAAAGGAAGTAGTATTGTATTGCTTTTATTTACTTAAAATTCTGTGAGTGTTCAAACAGCACCTGCATGCTGGTTTATGTGCTGCAGCAGAACATTTCTGATGGCATCAGAATGTCCCCATCAGCCATTTTACAGCACTGCAGGCTACCTTAGGTGTATGCTGGAAATAAGCATGGCTCATCAATCGTAATACATGCCAAGGAAATGTTGTAAACATAAAGGCATACATTAGTTTTTGAACTGTTAATGAATCCTTACAAATCTTTTTGTTATATAATACTTACATGTCTGCGTGGTAGGTTGTCAGTGACAGGAGGAAAAAAAGAAAAAAAAGTGGTACAGAGAATATTTCAGTGTACATCACATACATGCTATGCATATGGCTTTTTCAGTTGCCTTCATAGAGGACTAGATGCTCTCATCCTGTTAGGGTGAAATTTAGCCCTAGTGTAACTCCACTGGCATTAATGGTATTGTACCACTTACCTGGGGGCTGAGTTAACCTTTATATCGTTAACCAGATTAAAACGAAATAACGATTGAGAACATGGAAAAGAAATTCCATACTCTATGTAAATGTAGCCTAATGTGATACTGCCACTCCTGCCTAAATAAATGAAAGTTGGATCAGTCCTTTAGTCATTTATTTCATCTCATTAGTAAGTCCTTCAGCACAGAGACAGTGAACCAACTCTTTAGCTGCTGTACATCAACATAGATCCATTAGCTTTAATGGAGACATTCTAGGTCACAGCAGATGAGGATCCGGTCAAATGTCTTCCTACATGTTTAGAACTCAGTGGGAGCTGGGTATTTGGCACTTTTGAAAGTTATGCTAGTCATTGCGGTTTTTGAATAAGGATTTAGGAGCTTAATTCTTGGCAATCAGATTTGAAAATCTTGGACATTAATTTCCCTTTTTAGCAACAGAGGTGGGGAAAATCTAAAATTACCAACCTTTCCTTCTCATTAGTAATAGTTGTTTATTCACAGCAGAAATCACGGTGACAAAAGGAAAAAAAAAGGGTGTGTGTGAAATGCTGCCCTGAACAAGGCCATCTCCTGTCCACAGCGACATTATGTGCTTCAGGATCCGCACCAGTTCCCTAAGCGTATTAACAGTCATGGGTTGATGTGTATCTTCCCTAGGGCCAGCGGTGCATCACTATCTTGCTAGAAACCTTCTAACTAAACAACCGCTGCAAGGATCTGGGTAACCATTTAGCCTGCTGACAAACATAAGGGCTGACAGGAGTTGAGGATGCCAACTGTCAGGTTGCTAACAACACCATTTACTGCAGCACATGTTCCTCTGTAGTGGGCCATATTGGTGACAGGCCTTCCATATCCTGAAATTGGACAAAATGATTAAAACTTCTCTCAGCTCCGCAATGTTCCTGGTTACACCAACCTCTGCACTACACTGACAACCATCATACGCTAAGGCAGGGGTGGGCAAACTTTTTTGGCCCAAGAGTCACATCTGGGTGGGGAAATTGCATGCAGGACCATGAATGTAGGGCTGGGGCAGAGGGCTGGGGTGCGGGAGGGAGTGTAGGGTGTGGGAGGGGGTGCAGTGTGCAGGAAGGGGCT